CCACTGAAACCCCCTTCTCCAACCACCCCCCTACAGTCCTTATACCTCTCACCTCAAAAAACCAACATTCATCCACCCCTTGTTACCCAAACCCTCAAGAAGAACTCCTTGAACTTGAAACCTTTCTTCATAAGGAAATTTGGGACATCTGGAAACACACAAATTTTCAATCCAAAGATGACTCCCATCTCAACCAATCCAGCCACAAGTTCTCTGTTAGCTACCTCTCGGATGAAGATTTGCCCATCTCAAAAGATCCTCAATCTCCTCAGAACCACTCAATTCTGCAAGAAAAAGAAGTTTTCACCACAGTTAGCAGGAGAACTTCAAAAAGGTTACAAGAAAAACTTTCAGCAAGCAGTTCTTTCCCAAACAGTTTTTAAATGAATTGCTTATTTTGGAATATTAATGGCATAGCCTCTAAACTCCAGAGACTAACCATCCTCATCCAGCAACACAAAGTATCGTTTGCTTTCATCATTGAACCCAAATCCTCCATCAAGAAAATCATCAAGTTCCAACTAGAACTTGGATTCACTAACTCCATCAGCACTTCCAACAACAAAATCTGGTTAATGTGGAAGGACATCTGCTTCAACTACATAAACCACTTTGAAACAGATCAAATCCTCACTGCTCACCTTACTTGCCACATTTCAAACTTGGAAATCTTCATCAGTGGCATCTATGGAAAACACACCATTGAAGAAAGAAAAGATCTTTGGGGTTCAATCATGGCTCACAGCAAAAAAGAGACTCAGGCCTGGATTCTTGGAGGGGATTTCAACACCATCACCTCTTTGGACCACTATAAAGGCAAAAGCTCCCCCAATCTGCAAGGTATCCAAGAATTTGATCACTGCATCATGGAAAGTGGTCTCATTTCTCCCCCATTCTCAGGCAACCCCTTTACATGGACTGGAATCAGATCCTTGGGCAGGGTCTGGAAAAGGCTAGACAGGGTTTTTGTTAACAATACCTTTCTAGACAATTTCCAAGAGATTAACTCCATGCATATTTCTAGGGGAACTTTAGATCACTATCCTATTTTGGTAAAAGCTTCTAACCCCACCTTTAATGGTCCAAGACCATTCAGATTCCTCAACTGCTGGCCAAATCACCCTACCTTTAAAGCTCTCATAAGCAGCAACTAGGGCAAATACTCTGGAGGAGGCATGAGGGGTCTTATGAACAAAGTGTTCAATCTTAGAAAGGAACTTCATACTTGGAACAGGACAGTCTTTGGGAATATTTTCAGCAAAACAAAAGAACTTGAATCCTCAGTGCTTGAAGCAAAACTTCTTTATGATGAAAATCCCTCTACTGAAAATAGATCCCATCTTCATCATCAAAAAGCACTTCTTATTCAAGCAACAAATAATGAGTTCACTTACTGGAAGCAGAAAGCAAGCATCAAATGGATTAGAGAAGGAGACTGTAACACCTCCTTTTTTCATTCTATTGTTAAAGAAAGAAGGATTTCTCAAAAGATTCATAAAATCAAGTCTGGGGATGGTCAGTGGATTCAAGACAAGGATGACTTGCTTAAAGAGGCCAACTTCTATTTCCAGCAACTCTACTCTAAAAAGGACAGTGAAAATACTGAGGATTACCTCTCACACATCCCAAACCTCCTCACTGTTGATGACAACAGTCTGCTTACTCAACTCCCTAATGAGAAAGAAGTCAAAGATGCCATCTGGAATCTGGACCCCCTAAGTGCTGCAGGCCCTGATGGATTCACTGGAGAATTCTACAAAAATTGCTGGGATATTATCAAGGAAGATGTGGTAAAAGCAGTTCAGGAATTCTTTCTAGGAATCCCTACTCCTAAAAGTTTAAATGAATGCTCCATTATCATGATCCCAAAGAAAGATAATCCCATCACCTTTGAAGATTTCAGGCCTATTTGTCTTTCAAATTTCATAGCCAAAGTCAATACTAAAGTTATATCTCAGAGACTAAGAGACTTACTTCCTAAATTAATCTCTGAGGAACAGGGTGGCTTTGTCAAAGGAAGACAGATCCATGACCAAATTCTGATTGCCCAGGAGATCATCCAGAACTTGGACTACAAGACAAGGGGAGGCAATATTGCCATTAAGCTGGATATGTCCAAAGCTTTTGATAGGGTATCTTGGGACTATTTACAAGCCATTCTCGGGAAACTGGGGTTTGATCATAAATTTATCAATCTGATCCTCAATAATCTTAAAGACACTACCCTCTCCATCAACATAAATGGCTACCCTTCCAAACCCTTTCAACCCAAGAGAGGGCTCAAACAAGGAGACCCACTCTCTCCTCTTCTTTTCATTTTGGCAGCTGAAGGATTTAGTAGGGGCCTGCACTACAGAGTCAACACTCTAAAGATTGAACCTTTTAACATGGGGAGACACTCACAAATCATCTCTCACCTAGCCTTTGCAGATGACCTTCTGATCTTTCTTAAAGGAACAGCTCAAAATTTGGCTAGATTCTCAAATTTCCTAAAAGCTTATGAAGATGCTTCAGGGCAGACCATAAATCTTCACAAAAGTTCTTTCTACCCTCCAAAGAAAACCCAAGTGGCACAAATCAACAGAATGGGAAATTACTTGGGCATGAAGAGAGGTTCCCTACCCTTCAAATACCTGGGAACCCAAATCCACAAAGGAATCAACAGACTCAAATATTGTACTGATTTGCTCAACCACTTTGATCACAAGCTTAAAGGTTGGTACAAAAAATTCTTATCACAAGGAGGGAGAATGATTCTAATTAAGCATGTTCTTAGTTCTATCCCTCTACATCTCCTTGGCTCTTCTAAACTCCCCAAGAGTGTTATCAACTGCCTTCACACTAAGATGAGCAATTTTCTATGGGGCAACAAAGAAGGGAAAAATATCACTGGAAGAAGTGGGCTGCCCTTTGCTTCCCAAAAGAGGAAGGAGGTCTGGGTTTCACTAACCTTGAAACCTTACAGGAAGCATATGGTCTTAAGATGTTGTGGAGCTATACTCTCAATAACTCCCTCTGGGCCAGGTTTATGCACAACAGATACCCAGCAGGTCTGGAGACAACTTGCAAACCTACTGATTCTCCTAATTGGAAGAGACTCCTTTCAGCAAAAACCATTGTCGATTCCTATGAGAATAACCCCTTCTGGGACACCCACTCTGGTTCTATCTTCCTTTGATAAATCTACTACAACATCCTCCCTTTCCCTAAACAACTCACCCGGTTTGGGCAAAACCTTCCTTCTATGTGTCTTTTTTGCAGGAACAATGAAGACAATGCGAACCACACACTCAAGGATTGCAGATTCAGTAAAAATATCTGGGCACACTTTGAATCTAGTTTCAAGGTCACGACAACTACAACACATGGAATTTGCTCTTACCTGTCGCTCTGGTGGAGGAGCAATAGTATTGACCAGCAAAGTCAAGCAGAACGCAAGGTGATTCCAGGCATCATAGCGCACGAAATCTGGAAGGAGAGAAACAGAAGAACTTATGACAACGAATCAAAAACCGAAACCCAAATCATCCATATGATCTGGAAAAAGTTGCTGGAATGGACAACCCATTCATTTCATTACCGGCAATTCACACCTTCCCCTGGACAAGCGCAAGGGAAGGGATGATACTTAGTACAGATATTGCGGTGAAAGATGATATTATGTGTGGCGAAGCAATCCTACGCACAGGCACAGGAAGATTCATTGGAGCAAAGTCAGCAATAATCCAAGGAACATAAAACAGTGAAGAAGGAGAATTGGCTTCTACACTAATGGGCCTCAAATGGGCTGTTAGTATCACAACACAACCCATCAACATCCATTTAGATGCAAAAAATGCGGTGAAACGAATCACGGAGAATAAACAGGAGGACCTTTTTAGTAACGAGATTCATCAGCTGCTGGCAAAAAATAGAGGTCTAGCAAGACATATTTTCAGAGAGGAAAATATGGCAGCTCACTCTCTCGCACGTTACGCTCTCACAAATAACTTGTTTCGATCATTCAATGTATTAGCACAGTTACCTCCATCTGTTAGAGGGGCGATCCACTGTGACCCCTTTTGTACCTTTATTCGAATCACTTAATAAAATTTTCTTTCAAATTATATATATATATATATATATATATATATATATATATATATATATATATATATATATATATATATATATATATATATATATATATATATATATATATATATATATATATATATATATATATATATATATATATATATATATATATATATATATATATATATATATATATATACGGCGATACATATATAAATATATATACGCACATACATATAAATATAAATATAATGTTATATTTTGCTCCTTAAATAATATTTGACAAACTTAATTATCATATAATTAAAATGTCCAAATATCAAATATATATATATAAATATATATATTCTTGCACCTCAATAATAATAAAATAATAAACAATTTATTATTTATATATATCCAAATATATATATTATTATTAAATATATTTGACAAACTTAATTATCACATAATTAAAATGTCCAAATATAAATATTTATTTATATGTATACGTTTGTGTATTTAATCATATTGTCATACAATATAATATACACGATATATAAATAAATAAAGTGCAACTTTACTCCACTTAAATATTCTACACTTTCATATGATCTATGTGTGTGACCCTATTCTAGGTATCTATAAAATTGGCCATAGTATTGAATACTAAAAGTGATAAGCAGTATCTAGCAACACATTATCACCCCCAAATTATAGATTAAAGCTCTTGGAACAATTCTTTCAACGACACATCCTATTTGTATAACCCTTATCCCTTTATCACTAATATCTTGATTTAACACAAGATATGGGTTGTGTCACCTTGTCAAAGTTAAATCGATGGTTTACAGATTCTTTGATTGACTTGTTGGATTCAAATAACATATTTATTTGGGTATGGCCATGCACTTCCCAAGTCACATCAATCAGTGGGCCCTAAGATATTATACTTCATTAAAGAAGGGATAAATTCAATCTACGTCATTCACATCTTCGCTTAAGTTTCATTGCATACCCAAAACATAACTGTACATCCACCAATATTTCAGAGTGCATAAATCATGCTTCAAAGTATACAACTCAACTTACCAAAGAATGTAATGACTTCAAGTCGAAGGATAGTTATACTAATGGTCGTATGACAATAATATTAACACTTTAACTTAAACCCATATATTATTCTCATAGCGGGTCAATCCAGCAATATATCCAATATGTTTGCCTACGTATAGATTCAGATAACACTTTATCTATAGACTATGAGACGCAGTTATCTCATCTCATACGTATTAGTCTTGATATATTATGATGTCCGTAGTGTCATAATATTCGACTAAGGATATTTTAGACGTAGCCTCTATCTTTGTAACAGCCTCATAATCAGAACGTCGTAGTTCTCATCAATGTTACTAGAGCGCCTACTCTATGGACTAAAGCTATGTTTAAATCACACGAGACGACTTAAACAATCTTTAGGGCCTATTGTTCTTGATATAATATATATATGGAATCATAAGTTGGCCTCTAGGGCTTACTTATATTCAACATATTAAGGGTAAGGATGTGCTTCTACAACATGTTTTTTTCCTCTTCTTTGTTGGCAAGGGATTGTTTAATTTGTTGATCATTGGATGAAACAAGATTTGTCAAAGCAATAGTTCTTTCCTTTCGACGGTAAGAGGGTTTTCCTGTATATGCTGCCATTGGTTGTTTCCCTGAAGAGTTAAGGACTGGCCATGGGTTGCTTGTTTTTGAATATGGCGAAATTATGGCTACTCAGCTCTAGACTTGGTTTGCTTGTTGCATAATCTGGATTGGGGGTGCCTCTAGTCACTATTGCCTTCTTCGGATGCCCATGGGCTGGCATTGCTTCGTTGGGAGTCTATGGTCTTTTCCTTATTTTTGGCTTAGACTTTGGTTTCTTTTGTTTATTTTTCCTTTCTGTTCTTTTTAGGATGCTTAGCATAATCTTGTTTTTTTCTCTGTGTGTGTGTGTGTGTGCTGGTTCCCGTGAGAATGCACCTTGTGGAGAGAAATGATAATAAAATCAAGCCGTTGGATCTGATGCATCGTGCCGCTCAGATTGCATCCGGCGCTCAGATGTTGAGATAGTGCATTTTCAAAGGATTTTGGTGCATTTCGACATGATATATTTTCAAACCATTTTGGTGCACCTAATTTTGATACAATCCTGACCCTTAGATCTCACAATCTAAAGCATTAGATTCATTACCATTTCTCTTCTAAGATTGCATTCTCCCGAGAACCTATGTATGTATGTATGTGTGTGTGTGTGTGTGTGTGTGTCTATACACACACACACACACACACACACACATATATATATGTATGTATGTATGTATGTATGTATGTATGTATGCATGCATGCATGCATGCATGTATATGTATATATGTTAGTCAGTGTTAGTCGTTGTGCCCACGCCTTAGACGGGGGTGAATAAGGCGTTGAAAAACTTTTCAGAGTTTGATAAAAACGGTGTTGGCAGATGCGGAAGCAATAGATAAAACGCAGAAATAAAAGCGTAAAGTAAAAGACACACCGATTTTATACTGGTTCGGGAAACCCCAACTCCAGTACCTTAAGGCTCCTCCTAAGGGTTTCCGAATAACAAGTCCCTTGCCAATAGGACTCACTCCGAGATTTCACACTCCGTCAAAGTCCCAGTCTCTTAAACTAAGTCCCAGTCTCTTGAACTCCGTCAAAGCACCGCATTAGTGTGGCAAAGAATACTTGCCAATAGGATTCACTCCGAGATTTCACACTGGCTATCTCGTACCGCTTATAATGAAGATTTCACGGCTATCTTCGACCGTTTTACCCAAGGATTTCAAAGGCTATCCTTGAACTTTATCCAAGGAATTATATGGCTATCCTTAACCGTTACAACTTGGGAATTTAACGGCTATTCTAGACTGCAAGAAAGTGTGTTTGAAGAACACAAAATAGGTTCTACACAACGGCTTGATCTCAAGGATTAAGAACTAAACTTATCCGGTGTAAAACAAAATATACCCTCTCAAAAATACAATATAAACTTATGAATATGAGAGTATATATCTAAGACACAAGCTCAATAGTGTGTGTACAAAAATTAGGAAAAACAAGGCTCTTTAATAGCCAAAATATAAGAATGAAGAATAAAAAGATGAACACGCTTGAAATATTAAGTACAATGTTTGGAGCTTGAATTTTTAAAAGAAAATGAAGGATTGAGTCCATATTTATAGTGGAAAAATTTAGTGAGCCGTTGGAGGGTGGTTGGGATAGGTTTTGACCAATTCAAGACGTTTAGATTCAAAATTAGCAATCAGGAACAGTACCCCAACTGTCACAGTAGGGGTACCGTGACTGGCGATATCTTGGTACTGTGTTCCTTCAAAAATTAATCCAGCTCTAGCAGTACCTAGCCTCTAACGGTACGATGGTACCGTGCCGACGGAATACTCTACCGTGAGGATGGTAGTGGGTACCGTGAAGGCTACCGTGCCATTGTCCTGGATTTTCCAAGATTTCTTTAATCCTTCTCGTTTGAGTTTAAAACCTTTTGGATGTTTGAAAATTTTTATAGGATGGTTTTAAACATATTTTGTGAGTATAGCTGTATAAAATCATATCCTTACATTGGTTTATACCTGTATTCTACGCTAGTTTAGTGTTTCGACTTCATTCTTGAGAACCGAATCTTAATAGATTCTTGTTGTACCTGATACATTTAAACAAACGTTTAGATCTTATATTCTTTGCTATCATCAAAACACGACGCTTAGCAAACCAAGGTTAACTATCTCCCATTTTTTATGTTGACAAACAATATACTTCAAAGTGATTTAGATGGGAGTAAAATATGAAGCAAGCAAGCTCCCCCTATATTGAAAATACTCTCTTTAAACTTTTCTTGTTGTTTATTAAACGTTTAAGTTTGATGCAAATAATCACACAAGAATTCACTCAAGTCAAGTTGCATATGCACCACTTTGAAGAATACATCTTCTCTCCCTTTAGTCAAAATAAAAAGGGCATTTTGAAAATTTTTAAAGCATGTGTAACTTCTTGAAACCCCCCTATAAAAATTAATTTTTAGGAAAAATGATAGTTTAGAGATCATTGGGCAAAAGGTACATTTACAACAAAACTCTTCCTAAAACAAAATTCCCCCTAAAATCATGCAAGTTTAAAACTTTTTTTCAGAGATTTTTGGGGATAATTTTCTAAAAGGCATGATTTGAAATAAATTTTGAAAAATTATTTAGTCATGCAAACCAAGGCTCAAAACAATTAAGAGTATACATGGGATAAGATTTTATTTTTGAAAATAATTAAAACCAAACAAAATATCTTATCCCAATAAGCAAGAAAAAGACTTACCTTGACTTATTCCGCTCTTTCTTTGGCTTTGAATACGTGTCTTTTCTCTTCACATACTTCTTCCATTTGAGGAAATTCATATACTTCATTCGCATTGCCTTCTCTTCATCTTCTTCATCATTTGACTCTTCTGAGGAGCTTGAGTCACTTGAATCATCACTTGACTCACTTGACTCTTCACTTGGAATTTTCACGCATTTATTCCCCTTTGATCTTTTTCAACAAAAGCTTGTGAGAATACAAGGAAGATCGAATGTGGGCAGTTTTGGCCTTATCGCATTTGTGTAGTAAATCCACTATACTACTATGCCATTCTTTAGGTAAAGAAAATAAGATTTTTGTATTTAGCTCGCAAGTAGTACACGTCTTACCCAACTCACTCAACTTATTTACTATTTTGTTGAACCTTTTGTTCATATCTTGAATCGTCTCACTTGCCCCTTTCTTGAAGGATTCATACCCCGAGTTCCCAAGGGCAATCATCGTTTGCTTTGTTGAGTCATCCCCTTCATGTGTTGCTTGAAGTAGATCCCATACTTCCTAGGCAGTTTTGCACGAGCACACATGTGCGAACTCATCGGGTCCAAGGGAGCAATGAAGGTGTTGGAACACGGGTTTACGCCTACGCCGTACTAAACCGTGTTCGTTTTATGACAGGTTTTGATAACGCCAAACCGACGCGAAAACAAGAGAAAAATTGAGCAAATCAAAGGCGAAAAAACATGGCGCGATGATGAATTGAAAATGAGAAATGAGAACCAAGAACGAAGACTTAGAAATTATTTGAGTCGGTCTTAATGTGATCAAGACTGGCACAAACTGCTAAACTTGGCTCTCTAGGCTTATTACATTAAAATATCTTTTTGCATGTTCAATTCATAAGTTTTAAACAAGCCTAAAACACTTGGTGTTCGCCCAAACCAAAAACCAAGCCATCCGGCGTTCGGCATTCGGCTATCGGCATTGGTTTTTGGCGTCCAAACCAACCAAGTGGTTTTCAACTTTTTATGATTGGTTTTCACTTCTGGGCATATTTAAATAGTTCTCCAACAAAAACTCTTCAAAAACCACCTTTCATTTTTGATCATTTGGTAAAACCATGTAAAATGACGTAAACTTGGTTAGCCGTGGTATTTATCTAAATGACTTGGTTTTTAAGATTTCTCACTTGATTTCTTAGCAAAATACATTAAATATTGTTTTTAACACTTGGTTTTTATTTTGGAAAACTTTGATTTTTGACATCGGCTTACGACATGACTAACTAGCCATGGGTCTGGTTAAACCAGCCCAACAGCGATGTTGGAGTGACCAATAGCGCTGTCTGGCATTGGCAGCTGAAAACCCTGGTCTGGTGTTAAGTCTTTCAATAGCGATGTTGGTCAATGGACATCGCTGTTGAGCCAAGGTTGAAATTCCAAAAACATCTGGAACAGCGATGTAGACTTCTCTACATCGATGTTCAACCTAACCAAAAGAAAATGCCTTTGGTAGAAAGTTTTTGGACAGCGCTGTTGACCCAGCAACAGCGATGTCAGGCGATTTTTCTTTCTTCAAAGTCAGGCCTGAACAGCGATGTTCAAGTAATGAACATCGATGTAGGCACCTGACCGTTGGAAGGAATTTATGGCTGAAACTTTCCATGTTTGGAAGTCAACAGCCAAAATAGCGATGTTGGCCTTTTGGACATCGCAGTTGGCTTGACCGTTGCTTCCTGATTTTCAAAAACTAAGCCTACAACAGCGATGTCCAAGTTATGGACAACACTGTCAGGCTAATTTTGAGCAGATCTAATTTTAATCAAATCCCAGAAATTATGCCAATCACCCCCATTCAACTTCTACCCGTTGGAGCCTATTTTTCTACTATAAAATGGGGTGTTTGGGCCTGCTTTTCACAAGAAATTACTTCACAACTCCTACTATTCATTGCATTACATTGATACATTTTCCATAGCTTTTCGAGAGCTATTTTTGTGAAGTTCGTGTTGTGTTCTTGAGCGTTTTTAGTTACTCAATATCTACTGTAAAAGAGAGTATTGTTCTTGAGTGATTTAGTGTTTTTAGACACTTGAGGTTCGTGTGACTCAAACTCTCAAGTTGTACAGGTTTGTTAAGCACCGTTAAGCTTAACGTTGATAGTATAGCTCGAGAGAGTCTCTCGGGAGGCTGGACTAGCCACACGTTGTGGGGAACCAGGGTAAAAATGGAGTGCCTTTTCCTTGCTCTTTTACTTTACGCTTTTAAATTTTTATTCCTACATTATTTTCGTTTCAAACGCTATTCACCCCCCCCCCCCAGCGTTGGGACGTTTTTCTTACAATTGGTATCGGAGCCTAACTCTTTTCCAGACTTAACCGTTTGAGAGGAATAATATCATGGGCTCTTCTTCTAGAAATTTGTATGCAGGTATTGGCGAAGGACAATCCACCTCTAGGTTACCGCTTTTTGATGGTACCAACTACTCCTATTGGAAGGAACGGATGAGAATCTATATCCGTTCCACCAACTTCCAATTATGGTTGGTTATCAAAAATGGCGAGCAAATCCCAATGAAGAAAGTGGGAGAAACCACGGTCCCAAAGACTGAGGATGAGTTTGATGCTGAAGACATCAAGAAGGTGGAAAACAATGCAAAGGCTATCAACATGCTTTACTGTGCGGTCAACCCCGACGATTATCACAAGATCTCTTGCTGCACAACCGCCAAAGAAATGTGGGATAAGCTCGAGGTCACATACGAAGGTACGGACCAAGATCGGGAAGCAAAAATTGACTTCCTTACATAGGAGTACGAGATGTTCAGGATGAAGGAAGGCGAGAAGATCAACGACATGTTCGATCGCTTCTCGAAGATCATCTAATCTTCATGCTCTTAAGAAGACATACGCCAACAAGGATCTCGTAAGGAAAATCCCGCGGAGCCTCACCCCCGAATGGAGATCAAAAGCTGACGCAATCTACGAATCCATCGGAGTCTCCAACGTCACCATCGACGGATTAAGAGGTAACCTTAAAACTTATAAATTTTCTATTCTAACCCCGTATTTGGATGAACAGAAGCAAAAGGGGATAGCTCTCAAAGCCACCAAGGAACTGGTGGAAGAAGTCTCAAGTGATGATGACAACGAGTTTGGACTCGTCATCAAGAAATTCCACAAGTTCATGAAAAAGGAATTTAAGCGCAAAGGAAAGAAGTATGACGGTCCTCCGAAGTGCTATGGCTGTGGCGAGATAGGCCACATCAAGCCAAGGTGTCCAAGAGGCAAAAACGGAAAGGACAAACCCGGCTTCAAAAAGCAAAGAGCGTATATCTCTTGGGGTGGCGATTCCGGCGAATCAACCGACCAAGAGTAGGATGAAGCTGACAACCTTTGCCTCATGGCGCACGAAGATCAAAGCGACGACGTCCAAGAGGTATGTACCACTTCTTCCGACTCTTATACCTTTGAAGAAATGCAAGTAGCACTTCGTGAATTTTACGACGAATTTGTTAGCGCTTCCAAAACCAACAAATCTTTAAACAAACGTCTTTCTACACTTGAAAACGATTTTGAAAAGTTAGAAAAAGAAAATGAAAAATTAAAACAAGAAAACAAATTTTTTGGAAAAAGAAGCGCTGACAAACCAGAATGTTCTTCAAGCGAATGTGAATCTTGTAAAGCTTTAAAAGAACAAGTCACAAAACTTGAGAGTACGGTTAAGAAATTTAATACTCCGCACAAAGATTTAAATTTACTCCTTCACACTATGCATTTTTCTAAGGAAGGAATAGGCTTTAATAAAAATGAAGTTAAGGCTAAAGAAAACGTTGAGCAAACGCTTAGACAACCACGTAAAGCCCAACGTAAGAAAGCTAAAAATCAGGATAATACAAAACCTAGTCAACCTAAGGACACTAGACAACCTAGACAAAAACCTAGGAATGAAAATGTTCATGTCAGACAACCTAAAAAATTATCAAATTGATTTTGTGCATAAAAATGATTTTTCTCAAAATAGACGAAATAATGTTAGAGCACCTAGGAAAGGTCAATTTCAAAATATTCAAAGACCATCTTTTTCACAAAGTAGGAACAATATGGTTAGACCCCCTAACTACTACGAACCCAGGCACATGTACAACCCCAATGTAGTTTGTCATTATTGTAATAGGATAGGTCATATTGCCCCCGTTTGTTTCACTAGGCATAGGCACCTATCACAAAATCAAGCACACTACCATCACACACCTAACACACGGGGTCCCAATGTAAATTGGGTACCTAAAACTCATTAATGTGTTTCATAGGTTTGCTTGAAGGCATCAAGTGTACTTTGGTACCTTGATAGCGGATGCTCCAAACACATGACCGGAGATGCATCCAAGTTTCTTCAAATCAAACCCGCTAAAGGAGGGAACGTAGTCTTTGGAGACAATAACAAAGGAAAAATTATCGGCATTGGTTCGGTAGTGTTAGAAAAACGTCCCAACCCTAGAGAGGGGGGTGAATAACGTTTGAAACGAAAATGACGCAGAAATAAAAAATTAAAAGCGTAAAGTAAAGAGCAAGGAAGAGGCACACCGTTTTTACCCTGGTTCACCACAACGTGTGGCTAGTCCAGCCTCCCAAGAGACTCTCTCGAGCTACACTATCAATTTTAAGCTTAACGGTGCTTAAAAAACCCGTACAATTTGAGAGTTCGAGTCACACGAAACTCAATAGCCCTTCGAAGGAAACAACCCTTCCTTCGAACTACTCAAGAGAAAAGCTTTCTCTTAACAAGTGTCTAAAACACAAAATCACTCAAGAACGATACTCTCTTTTAGAGTGGATATTGACTAACTAAAAACACTCAAGAACACAACACGAACTTCACAAAAATGGCTCTCGAAAAGCTATGATTAATGTATGAATGTAATGCAATGAAAAATAAAAATTGTGAAGTAATGTGATCTGTATAGCAAACCCAAACACCCCATCTTATAGTAGAAAAATAGGCTCCAACGGGTAGGAGTTGAATGGGGGTGATTGGCACAATTTGTGGGATTTGATTAAAATTGGATCTGCTGAAAATCAGCCTAACAGCGCTGTCCATACCTTGCTTGCCCTAGAGGGGGGGTGAATAGCGTTTGAAAAAAAATCGCAGGAAATTAAAAACGAGAGCAATGAAGTAAAGAGCGTAAGGAAGGAGCACACCAAATTTTATCGTGGTTCACCATAACATGTGGCTAATCCAGCCTTCTGAGAGACTCTCTCGAGTTACACTAACTCCGTTAAGCTTAAAGGTGCTCAACAAACCGATACAACTTGAGAACTCGAGTCACACGAGCCTCAACGCCTTTGCTCGGAGATAACGCACTCCAAGACTTCTCACGAAGGAACGAAAGACTTCCTTCAAGTTTACAACAAGGGAACAACCTCCCTTAAAGTGTATGGAAACACTTAAACACTCAGGAATAAAACTCTCACAAAGAGTAGATATGAGTGAATTAGTAAACGCTCAAGAACACGACAATTTCTTCAAGAATTGGCTCTCAAATAGCTAAGAAAAATAGGAATGCTTATGCAATGAAAGAGTATTGAAATGTTGAAGAATTGTGTATAAAATGAGAGGATTTGGGTGCCATTTTATAGCCTAAAATGGGATAAACCCGTTGCTAGAATTTCCAACAAGATGAAGACAAATTTTTCAGAGACACAAGGTGATAGTCGATTGTCAAAGCTTGATAATCGATTATCAAAAGATTCCCTGTCCAAAAATTTAAAATTCTATCCGTTGGAGGACAACGGTAACCCAGATAATCGATTGTCAACTAGTGTCAATCGACTATCAGCCCTCTCAGAAGTTTCTGGGTTTAACGTATAAACGCAGATAATCGAGTGACACAACATGTGAGTTGACTATTAGATGGTTCTGAACTTAATGTTCAGAAACTGCAGCAGCCAACATTCGATTGACATAAACTGTCAGTCGATTATCAGCTGGTAAAAACCATCCAGCGAGAAACTTAACCCGAAAAGCCGAGGTCCAAAAACGAAGTGTTCCCAAAAGTAAAAAGCAAGTTTGAAAAACATTGTATATGGTATAAAATAGTGAAACCAAGACTTGTTTGATAAAAACCAAGTCTTAGAGGTCGTTTGTCACGTGTGTACGGTTTTGACCGTTATTCATGTGTTAGACCGATTGACCAAGATACAAAAGTGGTTTTTATAAAATAATTATTTGGGAACCTTTTAAAATATTGAAAACGACCGAGTTGGTTCGGACGCCGAAAACCAAACGCCGAACCCCGAATGCCGTACGTCGATACCGAACACCGAGCGCCGACTAAGGTAGTTTTTGGTCTGGGCAAGGACCGGGGATTTTAATACAATAAACTTTTAAAAACATTTATTTTGATGCACAAAAACGTTTTATGATTTTGTAAAATTATTTTGACTCTTTGAGAACCGAGACTTGAATTGATTGTCGGTTTTGATCACAGTAAGACCGACTTGACTAAGTCTTCAATTCTTGATCTTTGTCCTTGAGTGAAGAATAGTTATTTTCTGTAATTAATCTCGGAGGTCAAGCCTCGTATATATACATCATACAAGACTCCTAATTATGGTAGTACATAAATGCAATAATCCTATACAAGGGAAGACTACCAAATATAATAATATTAAATATACACAAGATATTTAACATGCTCCCAACTACGTAACCGATGAAGGACGGATGCCGAGACTGTGTCTGAAATCGGAGAAGAGGAGTGATGTGAAGATATCAGCATATTGGGAAGATGAGGGAACATGAAGAATGCGGACTTGTCCTAAGGCCACCTTGTCTCTAACAAAGTGAATGTCAACCTCCACATGCTTAGTGCGCTGGTGCTGAACCGGGTTGGATGAGAGATATACTGCGCTGACGTTGTCACAAAAGACCAGGGTGGTGCGACGTAGGGGTTGCTGTAACTCAAGAAGTAAGTTCCGAATCCAACTCGCTTCGGCCACGGCATTTGCAACAGCGCGATACTCAGCCTCAGCACTCGAGCGGGATGTGGTAGCTTGTCGCTTGGAAGACCAAGAGACGAGATTATCGCCAAGGAACACACAATATCCAGAGGTAGAGTGGCGAGTGTCAGGGCAACCAGCCCAATCAGCATCTGAGTAAGCTTGTAAGCAGTCCGTGCGAGTGCGATGGAGAGTGATCCCGTGAGTAGTGGTCCCGCGAAGATAACGTAGGACACGCTTCATAGCAGAAAGGTGAGTGCTGCGAGGGGCATGAAGATGAAGACATAACTGGTGGACAGCATATGTGAGATCAGGGCGGGTGAATGTGAGATACTGCAAAGCACCAACGATGGACCTGTAAAGAGTGGGGTCGGAAACTGGTGTAGTTTGGCTCCGTAAAGCTTAGGAGAATTGGAACGTGAAGTTTCACGTTAGAGATGGTGGTGAACGCCAAGTGAGGGGCTGAAGTAGAGGAAGGAGTCTTGTCGGAGGAGGGCTTGTCGGCCATGGTGGGAGGCGGCTACTGCGTGACAGAGGGGATCCGCTGGGAAGAGCTGCTGCGGCACTGGTGGCGCTGCTGCTTGGTGACAGTCGCCGGTGAGGGGAGGAGAAGCCGAGCAGTGGGCTGCGGCGTTAGGGCGCAGGAGAGGGGAGGCGCCGGGAAAAATGAGGCGGCGCTAGGGTTAGGGTTTTTGGAACGGAGGTTACGAGACTAGGCTCCGAGAATAGGCTCCGATACCATGAAGAATAGTTATTTTCTGTAATTAATCTCGGAGGTCAAGCCTCGTATATATACATCATACAGGACTCCTAATTATGGTAGTACATAAATGCAATAATCCTATACAAGGGAAGACTACCAAATATAATAATATTAAATATACACAATATATTTAACATTGAGTCTTTTGGTCTTGTTCCATGCCATTCTTCACGCCTCGAGTAGTTCAATGAAACTCTTCATATCAACGGCGGTTTGACAATTATCAAAACCTGTCAGAAATGAACACGACTTTAGTTTAACGTAATAAAAAGTGTGTTCCAACAATTTCCCCCTTTTTGATAATGGAAAACAAGACGGGGATATGCATAGGGTTTTAATCTTTTTGAAAGAAATTCCCCCTTAATAAAAATTCCCCCTTAAGATATGCATAGCCCTTATCGTCCCCCTTTTGACATTAACAAAAAGATTTAAAAACCATAAAGATTTTTAATTTTTTAAAATAAGGGAAATAGCAGAGTACATAACGGAAGCAAATTTTAAAAAGCATAAAAATAAATAAAGAAGAGAACAGAAAAGAGCTAGAGCTCTAGAAATCCAGTGAAAGATCATCGAGGAGTTGTTCTTCGTTGATGTCTTCCTTTTCCTCATCATCATCATCATCATCATCTTCTTCTTCTTCTTCTTCTTCTTCTTCGGCTTCCTCTTCCTCTTCTTCCTCATCGTTCACCTCTTCTTCTCCACCAACGTTGTTAGTCCCGCTTGGTTCACCCCCGAGATTCGGTGGAGGAGCATAGGAGACCATTTGAGCATAAGGGTAGTTGACAAAGTCAAAATACCCATGGAGCTCACGGCTTGAAATATTGACATTTTGGGCCGTTTGGGAGACGTTGGTGTCTATCCGAGAAAGGGTGGTTGTCAAGGAGGCCATTTGCTCGTCTAGAGATGGGGTGTTTGAAGAAGCATCCCTTGGTTGGCATCGTGGACGAGGCTGTCGAAACGGAGTCTCGTCGGTGCCCGAGTGAAAGGAGGATTCATCAATCTCCCAATGCTTTGTCCCCCTTCTCTTCGCCCCAACGTCGGTCTTGATGTTGTACTCATCAAGAATCACCATGACAAAGAGGGCGTAGGGAGCGGCCGATCGTCGGAGGTGGCGCTTAACATGTGAGTCATCACAAATTTACACCAATTAATGTTGGTGTTGTGAATCATCGCATGAAGCGTTTTGGTGTCCTCTTGGGAGAGAGCGGTGTGATTGTACTTCCTTGGCTTGAGGATTTGTGTCAAGACATAAAATATGAATCGAAACACGGGATTCATGGAAGTAATCGTCGGGTGCCGCTGTTGGAGAGTGGGGGGCGAAGTTTCGGATTCCCACTTCCTCCAAGAGGGCGGTTTCGTTGAACCGTGCCCCTCCCTCTCCGACGTAGAGACCGAGATCCTCTCCATTCCGACGAAGCCCGGTGAGTATTTGAATGTTCTCCTCATTCAAATAGATATCCACTCCGCTGACGTTTGAAATCAACGCTCCGTCCTTATCCTTTGTCAAGTTCGAGTAGAAAGCTCGAACGAGAAAGGGTTGATAGTGAGCCTTCTTGATGTAGAGGAGATCGAGGAAATTTCCACGCTCGAGGATAATTTGTGCCTCTCGAGGAATGGAATCGTGAATGAAGCGGGCGATGGAGAACCGGGGAGGAAGAATTTCCCGGTGCTCAAACTTCTCCGAGAACCGCGTCGCCTCTGCGCGGTCGTTGAACCAAAGGAACGACCCGTCGAGGTACTTGTGCGTCGGTGGTGGAGGAGCCGAGGTGGAAGCCACGTTCTTGCTGGTGCGGGAGAGCTTTTTTTGACCACCTGCCATTGCAACAAGAGAGAGGAGAGAACAAATTTGCAGAAGTTTTATAAAGAATGAAGAACTATTGCAAGAATGATGAATTATGATGATTGGAATGAGTAAAGAATGAAGAGATATCACCAATATATAGTGGAAGAGGCTTGAGTTCCGTTGGGGAAGTCAAAAAGTTGTTAGCCTTGAATGCCGTACCCCGCAACCGTTTTGATGTGCCAAATAAGTCTTCCAAATTCTACTAACATCATTTGCAGGAAGAAACCAAACGCCAAACCTCTATTAGCTTGTTTAGCATCACTAAGATATACTCCTACGAGTTTAGAAATTATTGTGTAAAGGTAATGATATATTTTAATGATTTACTTATGCCCTTTCACTCAAAAATTAGATTTAAAATGTCAAATATATTCTTAGTTGGGGTTATTTTGAAAACGGAACACGAAAAACGAGTTTTGGAAAATTTACACAGGCCTAACGGTACCAGGCTACCGTGTACACGGCACCACGGTACCGCCGGTAGCCAAGTGAACGTACCTCTGTACGTTTCACCCAAGTGTTACATGTTAGAATAAAGGCCCAACGCTAGAGGGGGGGGGTAAATAGCGTTTAAAACAAAATCGCAGGAAATTAAAAACGAGAGCGTTAAAGTAAAGAGCGTAAGGAAGGAGCACACCGAATTTTATCCTGGTTCACCACAACATGTGGCTAATCCAGCCCCTCGAGAGACTCTCTCGAGCTACACTAACTCCGTTAAGCTTAAGGGTGCTTAACAAACCGATACAACTTGAGAACCCGAGTCACACGAGCCTCAACACCTTTGCTCGGAGATACCGCACTCCAAGACTTCTCACGAAGGAACAAGGAACTTCCTTCGAGTTTACAACAAGGGAATAACCTCCCTTAAGGTGTATGAGAACACTTAAACACTCAGGAATAAGACTCTCACAAAGAGTAGATATGAGTGAACTAGTAAACGCTCAAGAACACGACAATTTCTTCAAGAATTGGCTCTCAAATAGCTAAGAAAATTAGGAATAATTATGCAATGAAAGAGTATTGAAATGTTGAAGAATTGTGTGTAAAATGAGAGGATTTGGGTGCCATTTTATAGCCCAAAATGGGATAAACCCGTTGCTAGAGTTTCCAACAGGATGAAGACAAATTTTTCGGGGACACAGGCTGATAGTCGATTATCCAAGCTTGATAATCGATTATCAAAAGATTCCTTGTCCAAAAATTTAAAATTCTATCCATTGGAGGACAACGGTAACCCAGATAATCGATTGTCAACAAGTGATAATCGATTTTTGTCCTCTCAGAAGATTCTGGGTTTTGGCTGCAAAGACTGATAATCGATTATTGCATAAGTGATAATCGATTATTGCGTGCTTCAGAACTTTGGAAGTTCAAAGCTGCAGGGGCTGATAGTCGATTGTCACTAAGGTGATAATCGATTATCACCCAGCTAAAGTCTAGCCAGCTGAAACCCGTTTGGAAAAATCGAGGTCCAAAAACGAAGTGTTCCCAAAAGTAAAAAGCAAGTTTGAAAAACATTGTATATGGCATAAAATAGTGAAAACAAGACTTGTTTGGTAAAAACCAAGTCTCCAAGGTCGTACATCACGTGCGTACGGTTTTGACCGTTTTTCACGTGTTAGACCGAATGACCAAGATACAAAAGTGGTTTTTATAAAATAATTATTTGGGATCATTTTAAAAATGTTCAGAGGTAAAAACAGGGTTTAAAATATTGAAAACCATGGAGTTGGTTTGGGCGCCAAAAACCGAACGCGGAAAACCGAACACCGAAAGCCGAACGCCGACTTAGGTGGTTTCGGTTCCGAGCAAGGACCAAGGAGTTTAACAATAAAAAAAATCATCAAAAATATTTGTTTTGATGCACAACAAATATTTTATGATTTGTAAAAAATTGTTTTGACTCTTTGAGAACCGAGACTTGAATTTATTGTCGGTTTTGATCACAAAATACCAACTCGACTAAGTCTTCAATTCTTGATCTTGTCCTTGAGTTTTTTGGTCTTGTTCCAAGCCATTCTTCACGCCTTGAGTTATTCAACGAAACTCTTCATATCCACGGCGGTTTGGCAATTATTAAAACCTGTCAGAAATGAACACGACTTTAGTTTATCGTACAAAGTGTGTTCCAACAATTTCCCCCATTTTGATAATGGCAAACAAGACGGGGATATGCATAGGGTTTTGATCTTTTTGAAAATAAAAAAGATTCCCCCTTGACAAGGTTGTAGAGCACGTCGTCCTCACGCCGGAGGTTGGAGTAGAACACTCGAATCAGTGCCGGGTTGATCTCCTTCCGGGCCTTGGAGACAAATGGCCATAGCCCTGATTGATGCAGCTCCGCATTTAGCGAGTCATAGCCTAGCATCTCCGGGAGTCACCCCGGGAGGATCCTCGATTGTGCCACAACCCGCTTGGAGAAGAAAGTAAGGAAGCGGGTGCGTTCCTCCTCAGAATCGAACGAAAGGTACAACCTGTCTCCGTAGTAGAAGCATTCGTCGGAGGTCGTTGCAGGCGCCCGGGATTTTGACTTTGATTTCCCAGAGGTACCAGCCCTGCTCTTGTCTTTGCCCATGATTTTGGAGAACAAGTGAGAAGAGATTAGGAGAGATTGATAAATTATGGAAGTAGATAGAGAGAATAGGTGTTTGTGTGTGTAAAAATGAAGAGAGAGGGTCCCAATATATAGGGAAAGAAGTTCCCAACATTCAAAATTTTGAAAAAAATGGTTGTTGGAGCATTTAACTCAGTGCCCAACGGATATTTTTTTCTTTGAAAAATTCAAGTTGAACAACGATGTTCAATAGGCTACATCGTTGTTGAGAGATCGCTGTTATGCCTTTGTACATTGCTGTTGTGCGTTAAGTTTAAAAACCAGGTGTCAAATGGACAGCGATGTTGGGTCCCCTACAGCGATGTTCCAAAACTTTTTGGAAATGTGTAAGCGGTTGAACCCATTAGAACAGCGTTGTTGGGTTTACCTACATCGTTGTTTTACGATAAGGAAAAAATTTGTAAAAATGGACAGCGATGTTGCAATAATGTACAACGCTGTTGAAGAACTTTTTGGTTTTGATTGAAAAATGGTGTTTGAAGTAACAGCGATGTTTAAAGTGTTGCAGCGATGTTAAAAAAGTTTCTGGAAAACATAGAGTAAGAGGACTCCCTGTGACAGCAATGTTGGGTTATCATGTTAGACAAATGTGCAACTCTAGAGGGGGGGGGGTGAATAGAGTTGTTTTCAAGAATGTGCGTTTTTCGCGTGTGTGAAATAATAAAATCGAGGAATAAATAAAGAGAGTAAGGGAAAGAAGAACACCGAGATTTATACTAGTTCACCACCTCGTGGCTAGTCTAGTCCTCCGAGAGACTCTCTCGAAAGTCCTACTAATCTTCAAGCTTCAACGGGTGCTTGAAAAACTAGTACAACTTGAGAACTTGAATCACACAAGCCTCACTTTCTTACAACAACAAGACTTGAGTCACACAAGTCTTTAGAACAACACTCAAATGAGATTGAGTTTAACAACACAAGAATGAAAGCTCACACAATTGAGCAAAGTAGTGTTGAAGAATTAAAGCTCTATGGATGACAAAATCTTTAGCACTCAATAAAATATTTCTAACTCTCAAAATAATATATTTGATGAGGAAGATGGAAGCAAGAAATGAATATAGCTCAATGAAGATATTGGAGTGCAAGAGTTGTGTCTTAAAATGAAGGAGAATGAGGGATTAAATAGGCTGAAGAAAATAGAACCGTTGGAACAGGATGAGAATAGGCACCAGAAAAAATTAATCGATTAAAGTGGAGAAAGTAATCGATTAGACGGCGCTGTCTGAACTAATCGATTAAGGTGAAGAAAAAAATCGATTAATTGGAAAAAAGTCTTCAGCGAAGAATGCAATCTTAATCGATTAAGTTTGATGGAAAAATCGATTAGACTACGCTGTGAGAACTAATCGATTAAATGAATAAGAAAAATCGATTAATACTGAAGGCTTGAGAAATCCGGAACTGGATCTAATCGATTAATTTTGAAAATTTAATCGATTAAAGTGGAAATAATGCGCAAACATAAAGGGCCCAAGCCAAGTGCGATTGGAAGCCTTTGGCTTCTAACTCGTTCTTTGGGACAACGGGAATATCAACGGATGCTCCTCATATCTCCTATTCAATGAATTTGAGTAGGGGAGAGAAAAAGAGTCCAAAAATTATTTTGTGTGTCAAACGATGTACAAGAAAAATATTTAAAGTAAATTTTTCTTACCAAAAAAATTTGTGTATTCTTAAAAAAATATTTCTAAGAAATTTTGACACACTTATTTTGAAACTGACTTAGTAAAATATTTTTAGACAGAGGAAAAGTAATTTTTCAACTGACTTAGAAAATAATAATTTTTATCCCTCAAAAAATAATTTGTTTGTGTAGAAAGTATTGTGATCCTTACAAAGATTCCTAGACTCAATAAAAAGAAATCTTCGGAGTCTTCACTACACTTCAAAAAGTTCTGCGTAGGGGTAAGCCTTGATTTTATCTTGATACGCCTCTTTGCTTTTCTCGATACGAAAATAAATTTTCGATTAGCTTGAATTTAATCATCCTGTTTGTCATTCATCAAAACAAAAAAAATATTCCAGAAGAAATAGTAAAGGGGTTTGAACTCATGTCCAACATATCATACATCGATGTTGGTTTATGTGAGGTTGACGGCGTTTCCCTCAACAGCGTTGTTGATCTCCTTGACAGCGTTGTATGAACAGCGATGTTGTTCTTCTTACAACAATGTTTGCATGGTTTCCCCTGATGTTATGAACGGGGTACCTGCAAAAAAGAAAAATTTCTCCGACGCTCAAGTTAGTAAACGTTTAACAAGTTAAAATGCACAATTTAGATCATCGTGGAGTCAAGGATTCCGAGTTCACTTCGAATGCGGAAGAACGAGTCTTTCTCTAAAGGTTTTGTGAAAATGTCGGCTAATTGGTTGTGTGTTTCAACGAACTCAATTTCGACATCACCTTTGAGAACATGATCTCTAATGAAATGATGCCTAATGTCAATGTGTTTCGTCCTTGAGTGAAGAACGGGGTTCTTCGTCAAGCTTATGGCGCTAGTATTATCACAACGAAGAGGAACGTGATTGATACTAAGACCATAGTCCACGAGTTGTTGCTTCATCCAAAGAATTTGAGCACAACAACTACCGGCGGCTACGTATTCCGCTTCGGTCGTGGATAACGCAACACTGACTTGTTTCTTACTAAACCAAGTAAGTGACAAGTCCCACTCGTACTTTTACGGTCCAATTTGCAACCGGGAAAGTCCGAGTCGTAGTAACCAACTAGATGACAAGAAGAACCTTTGGGATACCACAGTCCAACGTTAACCGTGCCGACAAGGTATTTCATGACCTGTTTCACCGCCTTTAGATGTGATTCCTTCGGACACGATTGATACCTTGCGCAAAGGCATACGCTAAACATGATATCCGATTATACCTCGATATTTTTTTACCTCTACTTCCTTACCTTTCTCGTCTTTGTCAAGATGGTCGGATGTGCTCATCGGGGTCACCATGGCTTTGGCGTTGTCCATTTCGAAACGTTTTAGGAGTTCTTTGCAGTACTTAGTTTGGCAAATGAATGTGCCATCACTCATTTGCTTCACTTGAAGTAGCAAAAAGAACGTGAGCTCGCCCATCATTAACATTTCAAATTCGCTAGTCATTAACTTGGAGAATTCCTTGCAAAAAGACTCATTAGTAGCAGCGAATATAATATCGTCTACCTAAACTTGAACCAAAAGGATGTTGTTGTTTTTACTCTTGATAAAAAGTGTGGTGTCAACCTTTCCCCTTTGGAGGCCACTATCCAAAAGAAATTTACTCAAATGTTCGTACCAAGCACGGGGTGCTTGTTTAAGACCGTAGAGCGCTTTCTGAAGTTTGAAGACATGGTCGGGATACTCGAAGTCTTCAAACCCCGGGGGCTGGTCAACATACACCTCCTCTTGAATAAAACCATTGAGGAAGGCACTCTTAACATCCATTTGATAAAGTTTAAAATTCATAGAAGAAGCAAAAGCAAGAAGTAAACGTATAGCTTCTAAACGTGCTACGGGTGCATAGGTTTCTTCAAAATCAATGCCTTCTTCTTGATTGTAGCCTTTAGCTACGAGCCTAGCTTTGTTTCTAGTGATTACTCCATTTTCATCAAGTTTGTTGCGGAACACCCATTTCGTACCAATAATCGTACGATCATCGGGCCTTGGCACCAATTCCCAAACGTCATTCCATTTGAATTGGTTTAGCTCCTCTTGCATATCCAAGGTCCAATGTTCATCGTTTATTGCTTCGGAAATCGTACGATCATCGGTGTCCCTAAGTGAGTTACGAGTACTTACCCCGCGGTTGATGCTACTGATTACCTGATCGAGCGGATGGTTCTTGTTCATTCTCCATGCGACTAGAAGCTCGGTTTCTTCTTGTTCATGGGCTTCCTCGTGTACTTCTTCGTCCTCTTGATCTTCTTCATTTTCAACAGTCACTTGAGGTGTTTCCTCAGTTTGCGGCTGCGGGTTGGTGTATATTGGCATGTCTGCTTCATCATCTTCAACGTGTATTCTTTCAAGCGAATCTGCAAGATCATCACATATATCCTTTCTCACCAGGCGAGCATTATCTTCGGAAAACACAACATGAGAGGACTCCTCAATAGTCAGAGTACGTTTATTAAAGACTCTATAGGCCTTGCTACGTAATGAATAACCATGAAAAATCCCTTCATTCGACTTGGCATCAAATTTTCCCAAGTTATCTTTGCCGTTATTATGAACAAAACATTTGCAACCAAATACTCGAAGATGGGAAAGGTTTGGCTTTCTCCCTTTGTATAATTCATAACGCGTTTTCATGAGTATCAGTCGAATGACGGCTCGGTTTAACACGTAGCTCGCGGTACTCACGGCATCCACCCAAAAATACTTAGGGATTTTTGCCTCGTTGATCATAGTTCAGCCATTTCTTCGAGACATCTATTTTTACGTTCCACCACTCCATTTTGTTGTGGTGTACGTGAGGTTGAGAAATTATGCTCAATTCCGAGTTCATCACACAAATCTGAAAATGGATTTCGTTCGAACTCTCCCCCATGATCGCTTCTTATGGCTAGTATGGTTGTTTCTTTTTCATTTTGAACTTTCTTTAGAAAATTTTTGAAAACATGAAATGCCTCACTTTTATGAGTAAGAAACAAGGTCCATGTAAACCTAGAGTAGTCATTGACAATCATAAACACAAAGTAATTACCACCGAAACGTTTCGTTCTAGAAGGAACAAAGAGATCCATGTGCAAAAGTTGAAGCGGTCTAGATGTTGAAAAAACGTTTTTAGACTTAAACGAAGCCCGAACTTGCTTCCCCTTTTGACATGCATCACATATGGTGTCCTTTTCAAACTTAAGTTTTGGAATGCCAATTACTAAGTCTTGTGAAACCAATTTGTTCAAAAGGTTCATGTTCATATGAGCTACCCTTCGGTGCCATAATCAAGTGTCTTCCTCTTTACTCATGAGGCACTTAGCAAAGCTGGAAGGTGATTTGTCTAAGTTAACCATATAAATGTTATCGATTCTATCACCACGTAGAATAACCTTATTGTCACTAAGGCGTTCTACCGTGCATGATTTTGAATCGAAGGTCACACGATTTCCCTTGTCACATAATTGACTTATGCTCAAGAGATTGTGTTTAAGATTCTTAACTAGCAAGACATTATCTATAGAGGAGTCATTGGATTTACCTACCGAACCAATGCCGATGATTTTTCCTTTGCTATTGTCTCTGAAGATTACATTCCCTCCTTTAGCGGGTTTTATTTGAAGGAACTTGGATGCATCCCCGGTCATGTGCTTGGAGCATCCGCTATCAAGGTACCAAAGTATACTTGATGCCTTCAAGCACACCTATGAAACACATCAATGAGTTTTAGGTACCCAATTTACGTTGGGTCCTCGTGTGTTAGGTGTGTGATGGTAGTGTGCTTGATTTTGTGATAGGTGCCTATGCCTAGTGAAACAAACAGAGGTAATATGGCCTATCCTATTGCAATAATGACAAACTACATTGAGGTTGTACATGTGCCTAGGTTCATAATAGTTAGGGGGTCTAACCATATTATTCCTATTTTGTGAAAAAGATGGTCTTTGAATATTTTGAAATTGACCTTTCTTAGGTGCTCTAACATTATTTCTTCTATTTTGAGAAAAATCAGTTTTATGCACAAAGTCATTTTGATAATTTTTCTTAGGTTGTCTACCATGAACATTTTCATTCCTCGGTTTTTGTCTAGGTTGTCTAGTGTCCTTAGGTTGACTAGGTTTTCTATTTTCCTGATTTTTAAGTTTCTTACGTTGAGCCTTAGGTGGTTGTCTAGGCGTTTGCTCAACATTTTGTTTAACCTTAGCTTCGTTTTTATTAAAACCTTTTCCTTCCTAAGAAAAATGCATAGTGTCAAGGAGTAAATTTAAATCTTTGTCAGCGCTTCTTTTTCCAAAAAAATTGTTTTCTTGTTTTAATTTTTCATTTTCTTTTTCCAACTTTTCAAAATCGTTTTCAAGTGTAGAAAGACGTTTCTTTAGAGATTTGTTTGATTTGGAAGCGCTAACAAATTCGTCGTAAAGTTCTCGAAGTGCTTCTTGCATTTCTTCAAAAGTATAAGAGTCGGAAGAAGTGGTACATACCTCTTGGACGTCGTCGCTTTGATCTTCGTGCGCCATGAGGCAAAGGTTTGCAGCTTCGTCCTCCTCTTGGTCGGTTGATTCGTCATTGGAATCGCCACCCCAAGAGATGTAAGCTCTATGCTTATTGAAGCCGGGCTTGTCCTTGCCGTGCTTGGCTTTTGGACACCTCGGCTTGATGTGGTCAATCTCGCCATAGTCGTAGCACTTAGGAGGACCGTCGTGCTTCCTTCCCTTCTGCTCAAATTCCTTCTTCATGAATTTGTGGAACTTTTTGATGACGAGTTTTTGAATACTCCGGTGAACAACAGTTCCTAATAATTGTTAGAGAGTTTATGATAAGTATTTGGAATGAAATAATATGAAATTGGTGAAGAAACATATGCCAACCGAGGAGCTTGCCACCACTGGCGCAGTCCCGGTATTTTAGTCATATCTCCTTCGTTACTTAACGAAATCGCGACCCATTTGTTGGGCTGGATTCATATCGTCCGGGGCTACAACTTTGGTGGAGAAAGTTTTTCAAGATAACGAATGGAAAATTTCAGTTTTTACCTAGAAGTGGGCTGCTGTGTTTGGTTTCAGGATTTTGGACACTTGAATGGTTTCCTTTTTGATTCTTCTTCTTCCTTAGCATACAACCATGGAGTATTGCTTTTTTTTCTTCCTTCCTTGAACTGCCTACAGAGAGAGAATGGAGAGGGAGGAATGGATGAATGATGGTGGATGATGGTGAAGATTATGATGATGGTGGTGGTGGAGTATTTTATGAAAAGAATTTGGAGTTTATTGTGTTAGTGGAGTCAAAAGTGGAGCTAGGCTATCTTCGGTGGAATACGCGGGCTGATCCGTGATGTACATGAGATTTGATAATTTAAGTTTTGGCTTTTTGCCAAAACTGAACAGTTTACTCCAAACGGTACGTGCTTTTTCGCCCAAACTGCTCCGAATTAAAAACAGATTGTACCGTTGGATTCGTCTCTTCGAGACATATCCATAAAAATAAGTTTTTAACAAAAAGTCATTATTTTGAAAATCCATTTATTTTTGGTCAAACGTATAAATATTCCTTATTGGACAAAAATTACTTTTGTTTTATAATAAATTTTAGGCCATATTTTGTGGCGTTACAGATCATCTCTCAAAGAACCGTCATTCTGCCTCTCGGACGGTCGACCGTGGATATCAGGACGGTCCACTAGGTCGGCCGTTTGTTCATCTCCACAGAACCCATCTTTCTGCCTCTCAGATGGTTGTCCGTTGACATCAGAACAGTCCATCAGGTCGACCGTCTGTAGCCTGTCTGCTTCGCCACCTTCCCCCGGCCGACCGTTCCTCGTGGAACGGTCTATCTGCCCTTCCGCGGGCATCTCTTCATCATTTTCAAAGTGATCGATCGAAGGAGAACTACTCGATCCACTCTCATCTGGGATTTCACCTGCGGAAATCAAGTAAGGAAAAATGTTTTCACAAAACACAACATCCCGTGACACACTGATCTTCCCAGTGTCTGGGAAATACACGCGTCAGCCCTTCTTTCCTTGTGAGTATCCCAAACATATTCAAGGAATACTTCTGGGTGCAAATTTATCTCCATTTCTTTTCAAATTGTGTATATAACATCTGCAACCGAAAACACGTATGTGAGTCCTCGTAGGGACCGTTCCATAAAGCTTCTCATACGGTGTAACCCCCCTAGCAAGGAAGAGGGTGTGCGGTTGATCAAATATGCCGCAGTTTGTATACAATCTCCCTAAAATTCAATAGGAAGCCCTGTCTAAAATCTTAGAGCTTGACCCACATTCCGAATATGACGATGTTTACGTTCCACTCTTCTATTCTACTGCGGTGTAGACACACAAGATGTCTCACGAATAATTTCTTTTTCCAGAAAATATTCATTCAAGCATTCAAATTTTGTGCCATTATCACTGCGAACACACTTTATTTTCTTCCCAAAGTGACGTTCAACCATGACACAAAATTGTTTAAAAACACTTCCTACTGTCCACTTAGAATCAAGCAAATATACCCACACACCACGAGAAAAGTCCTTCACAATAGTAAAAAACATGGTAGAACCATCCAAACTCGGCTTCCGATAAGGACCCCATAAATCACAATGCACCATATCAAATATATCCAAAGATTGATGGAAACTGATGGGAAAACTAGCACGAGTTTGTTTAGCACGTAAACAGACATCACAATGACTATGACTGCTTTTATTCGGACCAACTCCGGGAACTAAGGACAAAACATGCGAAGAAGGATGTCCTAGATGCTTTTGCCAAAGATCAAAGGAATTCACCTTCTTATCACTGCACACCATGCTTCTTTCCTCCTTCTTCAAATAGTACAATCCTCCTTCATGTCTCCCCACACCAAACATTGTCCTCAAATTTATGTCCTGTAATATGCACACATCATTGGTTAACTTTGCCTCACAGTTTAAATCCCTCGTCAGCTGTGAGACAGAGATCAAATGGCACTTCAAAGTTGGAACAAACAACACATAATGCAATGTCAAAGTCCTTGTCAAATCAACCTTTCCAGATTGAACAGAAACTACTTGTTTTCCATTGAGTAACCCAATTTCACATGGAGTCACGCCCACCATATCATAGAATAACGAAAGATCACCTGTCTTATGATTTGATGCACCCGTATCAATAATCCAACGTGGTGACACAGAAATACCCGTAAGTTTCTGATTGATGTCTATAGGGGATAGTGCAAGGGCGTGACAAACAGCGTTCCACTGCTCCATAGTCAGATCCTTGAAATTGGGCAACGGTGAAAATCCTTTTTTCTCTTCTTCCTCATTTTTCTTGTTGAAAATAATCTTCATGGATGCCTCTTCAGACATACCGGATGACATGGGCTAATAATGGATCGAACAGTTGCGGCAACTGAAGAAACTGCCGTCGGGACGGTCGATGCCTTCGACCGTTCTTTTTCCGACGGTCGACCGTTCCGGTCTTTCGGCAGCAACACCAAGTGACGATCGATGGACACGATGCCGGGCGATCGTGCACAGTAGCCGCGAAAATCCTCTAGGGTTTTGGCTCCGATACCATGAAAGAATTATTTGGGAGGAAATTCTCTTGTATTTCTCTCTTGTGTTTACAATTTACAATGAAGACATATATATAGGGACTCCTAATTAGTAAAGGAAAAGGAAAAGGAAAGAATAAACCCTATATAAGGAAAACTACCAAAACAATATATACTCGTACAAATATATCCAAATATTCTCTTTTCTTTAACATTCTTCATTTCAACTCGCTTGCTCAACATCGTTCCTTTTTTCTCAAATGGCAGAAGGGAATTTCGTTGTTTCGCTGAAGAAAAATTTCAAAACTAACACGGTAAGTTAGCCTCACTTCAGAATCTCTCGAAACTGATACACTCAAATATGATATATATGCTTCCATTCACACATGCATGCATGTCTTGAAGTATGATTTGATGCTTCGGAAATACTTTATAGGCTATCCACTCTTGCTATCGTCTCATCGCTAAGAGATTCATCATTCATACCCAACTCGTCTGCTTTGCAGTCGAAGTTGAGTTGGGTGCTAATAGAAAAGATCAATTTGCAAATTGGTGGAATAATTAGTGGTTGCACACAACATAAATTCTCAGAGTTCGCATATACAACCAATATCATCCGGAAAAACTATCAAGATGTTGTCTAGCCGATAATAACCCCTAACTATGATTCTGGTAAGACATTGATATATGGTTGTTGTTAATCCACTGTATTATACTTCTAGTGTATGCGGTTTTCATTCTATTCAGATGCAGATATTGAGTATGATGATAATATTCTTGTTAGAAAATTGGCACCATCCAACATCCAACATGTTAAGGGCAATTTGGTTAGTTTTTTAGTTTTGTTTTTTATAGTTAGATGTCAACTTATGCTTTTAGTATGTAATTTTCCTTGAGTGACTATGACAATTTGTATTTTTATTTGTATCTCGTTTTAGTCTCTGAGTGAAGTTTTTTGCACTTCTAATGGATTTTTTTAGGGAAAGACAAAAGTCACTTTGATGGACCAAATATGCAGCCATGAGAAGCCACTGTGAATATAGACATATTCGGATATGGATTCGTGACGTGGAGCTAAAGACCATAAATATATTAAGTAATAAGTTAAAATATCTTGGATATTAGATTTTAGTCTTTTCATTATATTGTATTGGTCAATTCAATATTCTATACTAAAATTATATATATAACATATTTATTAAATTTTAGCTGTTAATTGCACTTTTTGTTATATGTTTTACAGCATCAATTGGTGAAAGTTCTTTATTAGTCGAATGTTATAATTTATTTTTATTTAGTTTATGAAAATTATGAATTAGTTTCAAAAGTATATACTCCCTTCGTCCCACTCTCTTTGTCCACTTACCTTTTGGCACACCATCCAATGCACTTCTTTAATCCATTTTATCTTGTAATTTGTATATTAAAAAATTATAGAAATTATATATTAATAATCTATATGTTAAGACAAATCAAACAAGATCACACATGACTATATTTAGGCTTACACATTGAGAGAATTTGATGTTCAAAGTAATTAGATGAACAGTTCCAAAAGTCAAAAATAGACAAAGAGAGTGAGACGGAGATAGTAATTCTATTGACTATTCTCATATAAGTTGTTTATTTGTTTGTAGGTATATTTTAAATTCGTGGAATTGAACCGTTTGAAACCAATCGGTTAAAGTCCATTCCAAATACTTCTTCAATGATCCAGCCATTCTCGACTCGTTTATTCTAAAAACAACTTTGGCAAGTTTCTATAAAAATCTGCCAGATCCCACCCCTAAATTAAAAGTCAATTTCCGATTTTTTATTTGATAAAAAATGAAAACCCCCAAATTAAGGAGAGAAAAAACAAAAGCTGAAAACCTCGAATGGCTGTGTTCTTCGTCTGTTTTCGTTCCTCTTCCCTCTGGACCCTGCAACAACTCTGTCTCTAAGCCGATTCATCATTGTCGATCCCTTTTCTAAGACACCGTTTCCGCAGGACAAACCGCGACACAGTTACTGTGCATATGACGTAATTTGGAATGGAAGTATAATGTACGGAGGCTCCGGAAAGCATGGGCGAGGTGGGGGCGGAGGCCGTGGAAAGCGCAACATCTCCTCTTCATATCACGCGCCGCCTGTTCAGAGATCTTCTGCCGCATCTGGAGGCCGTTTGTCAGTCGGAAGTGGAGCAGCTGGTCCCCGCGGCTGCAGCACATCTTCTACCCCCAATTCCTCTGCTGCTTCCAATGAAGTAGAGGAAAGTTTCAGCCTTGCTACGGGAAATGCTTTGAACTTCTCAATGATCATTCGGCTGGCACCCGGCCTTGTGGAGGAGATCAAGCGTGTGGAGGCTGATGGGGGCTTGGCGCAGATAAAATTTGATGCAAATGCTAATAATTCTACTGGAAACGTAAGTGTTTGAATGATTTTTCCCCATTTTCATTCACTGAATTATATGATCTAATTTTGGAGTTTAAAGTTTAACATATAATTTCACTCAAAGTCAGATTCTACTGGTTTGTTGTTGTTGTTGTAATTTCACTATGTGGAGTTTGCTGTATTTGGATAATCTTAAAGTTTGTAACATTGGATGGAAGTGTTCATATGGGTATTGGGCATTGTATTCATCAGGGAAGATAATACAGTACGGCTTTACTTGCTTATGATGCGAACATTATATCATCCTCATCATGTTATTGCCAACTATGTTAGGGTATGTTAGATGAAATCATGTCAAGGAATTCTTCAAAGTTAGTTAACAATACAAATAACAAATTCCCAGCAAAAGAAACATGGCAGGAAAGTTTTAAGTTGGATGCCCTTCTTCTAGCAACCTTATTACTAAGGAATAATGAGATGAAATACTACGAAATGACGCGGTCACTCGAGATAGCTGTTGTAGTCATGTCTCATTACATGTTCGATAGTGTAATTGCAAAGATGCATACCCATGAGAACATAACCAAATAGTGCAAATTTCATTTATCACTAAAAATTTCCATCTTGCTTCATCATAGAATTGTTTCTCCCATGCAGTACCCCATACTTATCCCACATGTTGGGAGGGGAAGTGGAAAACCTTAAATGTTAAGATTTATAGTGGTCTTGGTAAATTTTATCACATTGTGTAGATTAATCCCCAACCCCACCTAGTGGGATAAGGCTTTGTTGTTGTTGTTGTAGTTGTGTAGATTAATCCCGATTTAACTGTACTGGGACACAATTTTCTGGATGGGAGACGGATCTCCGAATCCGATGTGATTGCATGGATGTAATATTTTACAAGGATTTCCTTTGAGGAATTAGATAAGAAATATCTAAATCCATCTTCTAAAACTGTTGATCTGTTTACTTCTTGCCTGAAGTTTGCTAGCCTAGAAAATAAAATTTCTTTGCTGGATTTGCTGCCTCAAGACTTTTTGGTAAAGTTTAGATGTCACCTGCATTTTGTTTCATCAATTTGACATGTTCACGTCAAATTGGTCTTCATACTAAAATTGCTTGTTTAATCAGGTTATTAAGGTGGGCAATAAGGACTTCAGATTCACATGGTCACGAGATGGGGGAGACCTTTGTGACATATATGAACAACGTCAAAGTGGTGATGAAGGAAATGGCCTGCTTGTAGAATCAGGCAGTGCTTGGAGAAAGCTGAATGTACAACGTGTTTTGGATGAATCAGCTAAGAATCATGTTAAGATGCTATCTGAGGAAGCTGAGCGCAAGTCTAAATCACGCAAGTATGCTTACTTTGTTTTTACATAATGATTGCGTGTATAATAGAAATAATACTCTATATGATACAATATAATTGGTACTTGCATTCGTAAACCAATGAATTTTAAAATAACATCTGTATCTACATCAATTATTTTTGTTATTTGCATCATACTTACTATGGTAAAATCGTCTGAAAATAGAGCCATCGTTTTAGACCATGGAAATCCATCTACAAAGAGTCAAATGAAAGCAATGGCTGCAGTCGAAGGTATTTTTTTGTTTCCACCTATTCAGCATCTGAATGCTTTCTTTATGATGTATCATTTAAGCATTACATATTTTCCATTCCTGAGGGCGTGTGCTTACTGATGGGTTATTGGTTTACCAAAGGCAAATTCTATTTAGATGATGCTTGTTTGTCCTAGTCCTATAAATAAGACATTACCTCTTATTATTTGAATGATATATTTATATTTGATTTCAGCTTAGTTGCCATCTAGAGTAATTGCTAAATCTATCAATTGTTATTTGCTTAATAATTGGTAACACAGAAGAAACGATTCAACTCGTGATACTCATAGAAAATCAGACCAAGAAAGAAATCAATTATTGGAGCAATCCCTCAACTGATGTATGGTATTCAGTATTCACACCATCTTACGATATTCACACCATCTTACATGAAATGGAACAAATTGCCAGAATTCCAACAAAAACGAAACAACACAAAAACACATAGGATATCTATTTCCCCTCATCTTCAAGTAAACACCAACTTTAGATTACTCGCCATCTTGAAGTGTTTGAATGAGAATATCTGCCATGGGATTATTCATGGCAACAGATTCAGAAGAAGTGAACTCCACTATGTAAAGTCCATATCCGCGGAGATTAGGGTACATGAAACATGAAAAGCAGGCAACAAGATTCAGAAGAAGTGAACGCCAGGACGCCTAGGCGACGCCGTGACAACTATGATTGCGACTTACCAAAAATTTTCAGGGGAAGAGTCACGAGCTTCGCTTGAAAAAACCACTCGTTACTTCCAGAATATGGAACAAATTGCTATAACTCCAACCAAAAAAATAAACAAAAACATGGATTATATGGAAAGGTTTAGTTCAAGCGGCGGAAAAAGACTCTGAGCTACAAGAATTCAAGGAACAAATGAGCAGCAATCCTAGGAGTTATGAAAATCTACAGGAGAGGTGGGTGCATCTTTGTTTAAGAAAGTATGGGCATTTCCTTGTAGTCATTTACATATTAAGAAAGTATGGGGCTATGGGCATTTCCTTCGTTTTGCTCATCCCTTTTACTGCTAAGGATGTTACAATAGTTTTCGCTCAAGGAGTACTCAAACTACATGGGATTCCCAATTCAATAATTTATGTTCAAGATGAAGTGATTATGAGCCATTTTTGTAGAGAAATTTTCAAGCTTCTGGGTACACAACTTAAAGCCAGTTTAGCATATCCACCAGAAACAGAAAGCCAAATTGGATAAACAGAAGTATGGATTATTAAGCAATACTTAAGAGTTAAGATGTTTTGCTTCCTCTAGACCAAAACAGTGGGATCCTTGCCTGAATAAAGCGAACATTCAGTTCATGCTCAAAATAAGATGAAAGAAGTTGATGGTCACTGCAGAGAAGAAGAGTTCAAGGAATTGGCTACTTATTCCTAGTCCGTTTATGATTGTTAGTCTAGTTAGGAATATCATAGATTAGCTTGACCCTCTTAATAAAAAATTTCAACTTGGTTTCTGCTTAACTTTTACCTAGCTTAATTGTTAAACCTATCAACTGTTATATGTTCAACATTTACATGTAACATAAATGCCTTTCCATTATCAATTTCTTTATACTTCTAGCATTGGCAAAACAGGCAAACTTTGTATTTTCAGGTAACCAATGGAGAGCAGGTTTCAAGCAACCTCCTTTCAAGAAAAGGAAAGCTGAACCACCTCCATGTACTGTCTGATCAATATATTCAATTTTGCTTGTTTTCTCTATGGATTTAATTGTCTAATATCTCATCTAAACTCATGTTAATTTTGAGACAATTTGATCTTCAAATTATATTTTGAATATCTCATATCTTTTTTGTTGTTTTCTAAACCATGCCACTGAGAGCAGGTGGCCCTTCTAAACCTGCTTATAAATCAGTGGGTTTATCCACATTAACTCCTTCACAGGGAAGGCCTTCAACTTCACCATTATCTTCTCCAGTTCACGGATTTGGGAGCAGACTCAAGCAAAGCCAAACAACTTTAGGAGATGATGTGCCATCTCAACCAGTAAATAAATCTACTAGCTCTGTCAATGAAATTCCCCAAAGCTATGCGATTCAAAACATGCTTGCGTGCAAAAGGAGCATAGATACCAAACCTTCTGATCTTCGTAGCTTGTTGATTATTGCCCTCACAGAAAACCAATCAAATGGATTGAGTCTTAAGGTATATTTGAGGCTTTACGTTATTCTAGTAGTGTCGTGGGGGTTGGAAACTTGGAACTAGTAGTTTCTCCTTACTTTACTAGTGCTCGTTCTTGGCTTAAAATTCTTGTTGAATTTGTGAGTGCAAATACAAATTCATTCGTTCTGTCAAATAATAAGGTTTTACATGATTTCTTCTGAATTCTTAGGCCTTGGAGAAAGCTGCTGGAAATGCTTTTCCTAACTCAGTAAGACAAATTGAGCCAATTCTTAAAAAGGTATGGAGAAATAAATGAAGATGTTCTCTTTTTCTTTTTCTTTTTTTGGGAGGGGATGCCTCACGGACACGATGATCCAGTGGGCAGTGAGCTAACACAATAAAGAGTGATCATCTCTTCACCATAAAGGTGAAATCCCACTAGTGTAGAGGGGACAACTCGAACTCTCAATGCAACAAAAATGTTCTCTTTGAACATGTAATTATTGTGCAAGACACATGTTTTCCATATAACCACTTAGAACACTAAATGAGAGAATTGTAGATAGTGTGATGGTTTGTTTTTATATTTTGTTCTTCCATGATTCTCCCTCCATCCCGAATTAATTGTAAAGTTTTGGCTTCACGGAGTTTTAGAAAAGTATTGAAAAGTAAAAAGTGGGTGGTTGAGATTTGTTTAAAAGAAAGAGAAGAGTTGTGGACCACATATTCTTTACTGTGTTAGAAAAAGTATAGAAGTGTGAAGATTATTTTGGGATAACCCAAAAAGGAAAGTGTGAGAATCTTGGGATGGAGGAAGTACTTCTCAACTTGAAACCGTGACTTAAAGGTAAGTAGAATGAAAAACAATGGTTCCGTCTTCGCCAATTTTTTGCTAGTGCTCTGCAAACACCTTTAACTATCCTGTCATTGTTTTCTGGCAGATTGCAACTTTTCAAGCTCCAGGGAGATATTTTCTAAAACCAGGAGTGGAGATGGAAAACATCAATACATCTATAGTGGAAAGTGGAAGGTAAAACTGCTATATTTTTTCTTTTCAGGGTTCTCAAGTTTACATCTTCCCTAGTGTAGTTCACAAATTTGCTGAAATCAAAGATATTATAAATGCCGGGTGAGTTGACAATATAGTTATAGGTCAGTGTATTTCTGTGGATATTTAAATACACCGTATTAGGGTGACAAGTTATTGCTAACAAGTAACATCCAAGAAGTAAGTTGGCATTGTAATTGAATTGCATACCTTCAAGACTTGGCATCTATTTGTTTCTATTATGAGACACGATATAATGGTTGGGGTTCGTCTTAAAGTGTTAGTGTTTCTAGTCTTATTAGCAATTTTTTGAGTTGGAAGTGGAAGTATTGATTCACATCCAATGCCAAAAAGGGATAGGTTCCTGTTCCTTGGTTCGATCATTTGGGCAGATGGGGAGACAGTGGGCATGTTGTTCATCGTATTGGAGCCATTTGGGCAAAGTGGATGTGGACTTTAGGTGGCCTTTGGGACAAGAAGATACCGGTAAACATGAAAGGGACGTTTTATAGGACATTGCTCTGACATGCTATGTTAGATGGAGCTGAGTGCTGGACCGTGAAGAAAACTCGCATTCGTTTGCTTCAAGTGACAGAGATGAGGATGCTGAGGTGGATGAGTGGTCGTACGAAGATTGATAAGATACAGAACGAGGTTATTCGGGGAAGGGTGGGAGTGGTACCTATGCAGGATAAGGTGCGAGAAGCTAGGCTGAGGTGTTTTGGGCATGTAAGGAACAGTAGAAGTACAGACCCCAGTGAAGAGATGGACTATGCTTGCGTTGTGGGCCAAAGAAGGGGTAGAAACCTTGAAGGCGTTGGAAGGAGGACAGGAGGTTATGAAATATGGAGTAAGACTTATGACTTTAGAATCTTATCGAGGATATGGCCTTAGCTTTGATAGAATTTCCTGGAGATGTAGACCTCTAGGCCTTAGTTTGTAGTTTTTGCCGGCGTGCTTCTTGCTTTAACCTAGCCGACCCCACCTAGTGGGATGAGGCTTTGTTGTTTGTTTGTTTCTTGCTTTAGCTTATAGCTTGTGCTTTGGGTCTAGTTGTTAGCCTTGGCATGTGTGCGTTGTGTGTACCACCTCTATGTTTAAGCCGAAGGTCTCTTGAAAACAACCTTTCTACTTCCAAGTAGGGGTAAGGTGTGCGTACACACACCCTTCCTAGACCCTACTTTTTGTGGTATTTTACTACTGCTGTTGTTGACTTGTATTAGTTATTTGGTGTTTGGTAAGATGAGACACTTATTGGTTCTGATATTTTTTTTCCTCTGTAGTTCTCCTGAAGACCATTTTTACACACCACCTGCTCTCAACAAACATGATGAGTTACCAGCTTCACAGCCTAACTTTTCCATGAGAAACGCGACCAATGAGCTGGAACATCAAGCACAGTTGGATTCTAAAACTGAAGAAACGCATAATCCCTTCGAAGAAGTTAATATACTTGAGGAATCACCTGACTGTTCTGTTCAGGAAAAGGCATCCGATCACAGTTTAGGGGTAGCAGAAAGCTCTAGTGATAGTGGAAGTGATAATGATAGCGAAAGTGATAGCAGTGACAGTGGAAGTCAAAGCAGAAGCCCTCGCGGCAGTAGAAGTATGAGCAGGACTAGCAGTGACAGTGAAAGTGGTGCGTCTTCCAAAAGTAAAGAGGCATCTGATGTGGAAGTGGATATCATGAGTGATGATGACGGAGGGGAAAAACATCAAGGGCAAGCTCCTGAGCATTGGTTGGCAAAATCTCCCATTCAATCAGGAGGAACTCAAGATATTGAGCCTGGTCAGGTTGCTGGGACAGATGCAAAGGAGGAATATGTTCCTGTTCTTGATAATGGTGATATTAACAAACTCTTTCAAGACCGTGGCATTGAAGAGAGCAATATCACTGATAAGGCACGTGTGAAGGAAGCGAAAGAAGCAGAAACGACTGAACTTTCATCTGACCAGCATGAGACTCTGGGAGGCCAAGTTCTAACAGCTATATTTTATAGTGAAAAAGAGAAAATGTCAAAAAAGGGTATTAAGCATGAGCTATCTAATAGCATTTTCAGGACACCTAAAACAAAGTCTGAAAGACTTTCTGATGTGAAACAGTTTGATGATATACATGACCACACGAAGAGGTTAAAAACTGGAAACATAAATCAACAGCAGAGTTCTGTTAGGAACCCTGTTTTTTCAGAGGGTGTTTCTCAACATTCATCTTCTGATAGGCTCCTTGAATCTTCATCCCAGAGACATGGTGAATTCCCTGGACAGGGAAAAGCTGTGTTGGCATCAGAAAGACCTGGTAAATATGGAAATACATTGAGCTGTAGTGCCAAGTGTTCTGAAAGTAGCTTTTTAGTGAACGGAGGTTTCCCCTCACAGAGAGAAAACCTTAGTAAAGGTCCACTTTATGAAGATGGGCTTCTTGATGAACAAAAAACAATGAAAAATTCCAAGGATAATACAGTGGACTGGAACGAAACAGCTGTTGACTCTCTGTTCATAAAACATGATAATTTAGACCCAGGATGTTCTCCAACGGAAAAGAACACGAGCAATTTCGGAAGATCATCAATAAATGGGAAAAATAAGAAACTTCAGAGGGAGCTCTCAGACTTGGAGTTAGGTGAATTTCGTGACTTCACACCCGAGGATGCACCTACAATGAAAAAACAAACTGAGAGAAGAAGTTCCGTCAAAGGGGAAAACAACCCAAGCTCAGACCACTGGACTCTAGAGGCGTGTAAAGGAAAAGGGACAGTTAAAGTTTTTTCAGGCTCAAAAAAAACATCTCCACCTCACACAAGCATCACAGGTGGCACTCCGGATGGACTATCTAAAAGGAAGTCCCTGGGACCTTATCCTGAAGATTGTAGGAGACCTCAATCAAAATCTCAGCAACCTCATTCTCAACAGAGCCATCCCAGAGTTGATCAGAATGAAGTTGGACACCTTAATAGATTATTAGAAGTGAGTGGTAGAAACAGACAGAGTGAAGTTGCAGGGACTCCAGAGGCTTATGGAGATAATCACAAAAAATTCCCTGCAAATGCAGCACAAATGCATGAGGCAAAGTGGGGAGCTGGGCCTATTTCCACAAAGGAAAGTAACACCCAGAACTCTAATCTGGCTACGGACATAAATGGTAGGCGAAAGGATGCTTCTTTGACCGGTAGTAATGAGGATCAGAAGCGGAAGGAATCTCCGTCAAATGAGATCAGTTGTTCATATCTTAAGTATGAAAAGCAAGGACCAGAGCTCAAGGGTCCAATAAAGGATTTCCCCCAGTAAGTATATCATTCTTATACATAACTCATTTTTGATAATCCTTTTTCTTGATCCCTACTTGGATATTTGTAGATCTCACTTAAATACTAGACATTTTAATCACTTTTGAAATCTATGTTTCTGATCATTTATCGTGCGGTTACTTTTGAGTACTGTATGTTATCTTCACTAACATGAAATTCCTCTTCTGAATCTTTACCCATATATCACATCTTTTTGTAAAGGTACCAAGAGTATGTGCAGGAGTATCTAGAAAAGTATGAGAGTTATTGCTCACTAAACAAAAGCTTAGAGTCGGACAGGTAACGTGAAGCATAACACACTTGCTTAATCAAGCTTTCAAATGAAGTTTCTTTACAAACACTTTGGTATAATTCTTTGGGTTTATCAGCTTTATGCAATGCGTCCAACTTATGTGTCTTAATATTGAATGATTTAGGATTAAGTTCAGTAAGCTTGGAAAAGACCTAGGGGCTTCTAAAGGAAGGGACATGGAGAGATATTATGATATTTTGAAACAATTGAAAGAATCTTATCGTCAATGTGGAGCAGTAAGTTTTTCGACATATGAGTCCTTTGATTGCTATTGTGGCTGGTATGGATTATGGAGCAAGTAATTCTTTACTGCTTACATCTAAAATTCGATTGAATACTCCCTCTGTCCAACAATTTTTTTCCCGCTTTGACCGGGCACAAAGGTCAAGAAAAGTTGATATTTACATTGACATTTGCATTCTACCCCCAAGCTTGAGGAAAAAGTCTACTGCGATTGAAAAATGAGCTTGTTGCTATGGTTTCCTCAACGAAGCAGCCCCAGTAAACATTTCAGATTTAGATTCGCCATAAATTCACACTAATTTCAGACTCATAGTTTGCACGTGTTTCACCTTTATCGCATTCTGCCGTCTTCCGCCAAGACAAATAAAGGTTGATCGCCTGCCCTAGTGTCAGATCCATTGCCTGCGCCGTCTTTAGCCACAATAAACAAAAAGTTCACAACTCCTTCAGATCCGACCGAGATGAGGCTAGATTACTTCAGATTCAATGAACGGGAGGAACTTCAACTTTGGAGCTTCGGTGGGGGAATCAATCGTAGGTGGCGGCGGCAGTCGCTGGTGGAGGAGAAAGACGAATGGGGAGGATGAAGAAGATGGTGGAGAAAGAAGAAGTTGGGGGAAGAAAAGAAAATGGCGGAGGATGAATTGAAAGAGACGATGGAGGAAGAAGGGACAAAGAGGACACTGGGATGACGAAGAAGATGGGGAGAAAGAAGAAAGTGGATAGGAAGAAAGAAGACCAGTGAAGAATTGAGAGAAGAAAGAGAGTTAATTAGGCTTGTGGGTAAATTGGACATTTTAGTGTATTTTTATTGCCAAACTAGGAAATGAGGAAGAAATTTGTGGACGGCCCAAGAAGGAAAGTGGAAAGAAATTAATGGACGGAGGGAGTAACTTTTTACTAAAGCTCTTGTTGATGTTTTGGTTTAAGATGGTAGCCTGCACTCATACTACACCTTTTAGATGTATTTATTAAATTACATGATACTGTAATTGTGCAGAAGTTTAATACTTATTGAGAGGAAAAGATCTCCTTATTCTGCGTCATTTGACCCTGCATTTTTAAAACACTATTCTTTGCGGCATGATATTTTCTCAAAAATAAAAATATTGAGGCATACACCTTGCGACAAAATTAATGTTTGTGTGCTTTGTTGTAAATAACTTGTCTCCAGAGTTTCCATTTGTTTCATTATATCGAACAGTATGAACTGCATATTGATTGCATTCTTCTCACATTAAAACACATTGCTGCAGAGGCATAAACGGCTGAAGAAAATATTTGTTGTGCTTCATGAGGAACTGAAGGTGATACGTAGTATTATTAATTACCCATATCTTGCTATGCGGGTTAATAAATGATAGATATTATAGTTAATACACTAAAGACCTTTATTTTGCATGCACACTCAAATCTCTCATTTATTATATTTACTTGTAGTAGTTCTTGAGTGCTTAAACCAAGATACATTTACTTAGGGACATTATGGGAATAGAGAATTAATTATATGGTCAAAGATGATAGTGAACTTTTTTTTACGAAACCAAAGAGAGTGAAATAATGTGCAACATTTGTGGGGAGGGAAGGAGTATTTAGTTCCATGTACATATCTGCCCCTTCAAAGCCTCAATTCTCATAATAAATAGTATCAATCTTTGGTTGCAGCATCTGAAACAAATGATTACAGAGTTTGCTGCTGCACATGCCAAAAGTTGACAAGCACCAGGATCTCTCTCCTCAGTTTTGCCTCTCTTTGGCTGCCTTGAGACCATGTTACAAGGGACGTACCCTCTCTTCTTACTAGGTGGAAATGTTATATCGAATGATCCATTGAGATTGTCGGACATCTGATGTCTTTGGGCCCGAGGAGAAGCCGAATGATTTCGTGCTCAATTAAGATGCGTTGAGCGCAGCAGTATATGTACAAGGAGAAGGGAAACGCCTGTAATAGTAAAAGCAAATATCAATTGGATGTAAATATAGATCATAGGGAACACATCTCCGTTTTAGCTCATTCTTTTTCCGGTTTTCTGTAGATTTCAGAGAGCAGCTCCAGCACATATTATGTGTTTATTATTTTAAAATTTTCTTGTAGCTCAAAAGGATGACCCTAGAAATTGTTTGTACATCCTTTATTATGAAGTAGCATTAATTTTACGTACATACTTTTTCGATTTATTGAAGCATAAAGAGTTAATGTTCCAATGAGGTTTGAACACGTGACATTTCATTTGGACAAGGTTATCTCTTTAGTTTAATTCTTTCCAGCTAATGCCTGATTTGTTTGCACCATATAAATAATTCGCACTCATGTTTATCAGTATTTAAATAGGGCATAATGGCATCAAATAATATCTTTTCTTGGTTTGCCAAAAAGAAATTTACTTTTTACATTGTACTTTCTCCAGCCCAAGTTAAGCCGTTTTTTTATTATTCACAAGATTAAATTTTAGTCTCTCTTTTCGTCTTTTAGTTACTAATTTGATAAATTAATAGTCATATCACCTTTTGTTTTGTTAACTTTTGATATGCTTTTTAATTATGTAAATTTTTATTTTTTAGTTCCACCCTAATTTTCAAATTAATTATAAGAAAAATTACCTAAAATAATCCCAATTTTACTCGGTCTTTCAAAAATAATCCCACCTTTCACTGTGATGCATAATAATCCCAATTTTACTGAAATTTGCCAGTTTTGGGTCGCCGTTAAGTTTCTAACGGAGGGATAACGGAAATGCTCGTTTTAGGCAACAAAATGAAAGTTGGGATTATTTTTGATGAATTTTTGTTTTTTAATTTTTTTTGAAATTTTTATTTAAATTTTTTGAATTACTTTCAACTTCCATTTCTTTTTCTTTTTTAAAGATTATTCTTACGTTAGAAAAAAAATAGATATAAAAAATAATGAAAATGAGAAAAATAACTAAAATCATACAAAATTAATCAAATAAATAATGTAATATTTATTTTATTTCTTACCAGTTTCTGTTTAATTTCTATTGATTACATTATTTATTTGATTAATTTTGTACGGTTTTAGTTATTTTTCTCATTTTCATTATTTTTTATATCTATTTTTTTCTAAGGTAAGAATAATCTTTAAAAAAGAAAAAGAAATGGAGGTTGAAAGTAATTCAAAAAATTTAAATAAAAATTTCAAAAAAAATTTAAAAACAAAAATTCATCAAAAATAATCCCAACTTTCATTTTGTTTCCTAAAACGGACATTTCCGTTATCCCTCCGTTAGAAACTTAACGGCGAGCCAAAACTAGCAAATTTCAATAAAGTTGGGATTATTATGCATCACAGTGAAAGGTGGGATTATTTTTGAAAAACCGAGTAAAGTTGGGATTATTTTGGGTAATTTTTCCTTAATTATATTGAAAATAATTTTTGGATATGACGTTGCATGTTGATGATGGGACAAGACAAGCGTACCCTCACTGCCTACCTTGCAGCACGAAGTTCAAACCTGACACAAGAATGGCTACAGTAGAAATAACAGGGATAGCTAGTGTATTGGAATCATGTACTTATTTTTTCCTATAAATACAGATGTAAGCCCTTGAGATGCGGGAGGCAACACAAGAGAGAAAAAGAGAGAATAATATATATACAAATGTGTTTTGATATCGAATATTACAATCTGGATAAGTCTCATAAAGATAAATCCAATATATATAGATTATTTGTGTAATCTTGATTGAGAATCAAAGTACAAACCCAAATTAAGAAATAAATAAAGAATTTGTTTATGATGTAAAATTTTAAAATGATTTATTTAAATAAATCATAATAAGAATTAAATGTGAGAACCTTTTTGAGTAAAGGTCAACTAAATTAATTTTGACTTTGTCAGAGTCAAACACCCAAAAATATGATGTCGGAAAAAGTATTACAAATAAATATAAAATTTATATCGTTGGATAGAGCTTAACTGTCTGATCGCAACGGTGCAATCAGAATTTAATTCGGAGAAAGTTAGACTAAAAATTATACCCCGACTGTGACCAAATTAGTCCCAATCAGGAAATAAAGTGCTGAATCTCCTTAAGTCGCACTATCGCCGAATGAAGATCGTAAAATTGGAAATCCTACTCAGCAGGCCTTGGCAACATCCTCTTCCTCTTGCTATATAAGCATACTCAGCTCCTCCCATTTCTTCACCAATCCTTCCAAAGTTAGTATCTTTGTGTTCATTGTTGAGTGGAGAGTTCATTGGTGGATTGATCCAGGGTGTTGGATCGATCACCTGCAGTAAGAAACAAAGTACGGTGGATCGATCCATGGTATTAGATCGATCACCTATGATTGATTCTGTAAGTAGGATCGATCCCCCGAGCTGTGTGACCCAAAAAGTTTTCCGAAAATGATATTTTTGGAACTCTAAAATCCTATTTTTTTATATCAATCAATTATGATCAATATAAAGATGTTTTCTTTAAATATAAATAATGTTTTTGACAAATAAAATCTTATGTGATGTATGACAGTAAGCTAGGGTGTTAACACTTAACGCTAGACCGCTATTTGTTATTGGATATATTATTGATTGATTATTATGATGAATATTACTGATTGATGATTATGATGAATATTATTGATTGATGATTATGAAAAGTAGCATGCTACAGCCTACATGTACCCCAACATTTGTACCCCATTTGTACATCAAAGGTATGCACTAACATTTTGATGGTTCACACTGACACAAAGTGTTGGTGCGTTAACAAAAATTTACACTGACAAAAAGTGTTGGTACGTTAACAAAAATTAGCATTACACCAATACAAAATGTTGGTGCATCTCTACGGTGTACAAAATGAGGTATAAATTCTTGGGGTACAAATAGATTTATCCTTATGAAAATGATGTGTATTGTTAATGATATCTAGAAAAACTCTGAGATATATCCATGTTGATGTTGGTTTCTAATACTATCTAGAAGACCTCTAAGATAGATTAGAAATAGGCCTTGCGGGTAAAACTATGAATATTCGGTGGCCTGGGTAAAAACGTACGTACATGATCCGCAAACCAAACTTGACGTACGTACATGATCCGCAAACCAAACTTGAGGATCACTCGTTTGGGGTTACCACCCAACCCGACAGTGAGCATTCCATTGTTTGGTTTCTGGTTGTACCTTAAGCGAAGGATAGTTTAAGATTTGAAAAACCTTTTTGAAAATTTGTATCTCATGTAACACCCTAATCCGTCCAGGTCTGCAGCCCCTTTCGGACTAAAGTATTAACTTGGTAATCGTAAAATTTAAAACTTTTCAAACACTTTTATTTATCGCGATAATATTTTTCGTAACATATACAGTGCGGAGTTTTCAATATTGCGGAAGCTTAACGAATCATAATTACAAACATAATTTGTTTATGTTATTTAATTCAAAACCATCACATCCATTCCGACAATCTCGCCTCCGTCTGCCTCCAGAATCACATCACATCATTCTTTCTATTAACCTGCGTGTAGCAAATAAAACATACTACACGCTCAGCGGTGAAGCTGAGTAAGCATATCTAAAGCGTCAAACATCCATATAAATTGAACCCAAATTCATAATCAAATCATTTGATATCATGCACAAAGTATTCAGTTCAAATATACAATAATCAATATTCAACATTCGTCATTCAATATTCATATTCAACATTCAACATCCTCATTCAATAATATCCTTAAACTATTCTTAGTCTAAGGCCAATCTTTTTAATGTTTACCAACTCTTAAACTAGTTCTAGTTTAAGATACTTCTATCCAACTCTTAAGCTAGGTCATTAGTTTAAGGTACATATATTCCGATTGATTTACCAACTCTTAAACTAGCCTTTGCTTAAGGTACAAATCCAGAAAACTGAACAGTATGATACTAACTGTCGGGTTGGGTGGCATCCCCAAACGAGTTCCTCTAGTTTGGTTATGGATCCCGTACGTACGTTTTAACCCAGGCCACCGAATATTCATAATTATACCCGCAAGGCCTATTTCTAAGTCATCTTAGAGGTCTTCTAGATAGTCTTAGAAACCAACGTCAACCTAGGTATATCTTAGAGTTCTTCTAGATATCCTTAGAATTCAAATCATTTCATAATCATCAACATATTCATTTCAATTCATAATTTAATCTTCAATAATCATTTTAATCACTAGTTTCATCAAGTCATAATCATCATAATAATCATTCATCATAATTATCAATCAACATAACATTTGATAACAAACAGCGGCCTAGTCTCGAGTGTTAACACCCGAACTTACCGTCATGCATCACATAGTATTTTATATGCCAAAAACATCATTGTTATTATACAAAATCATATTTATATTGTGCATAATTAATTGGTATCAAAAATAGGATTTCATAGTTCAAAAATCATGTTTTCTAAACAATAATTGATTAATATATGATAGGAAATTCAATTATTAACTATTAGCTTCATTTTCTTCAATAGTGTAGGGAGACAGTCTACTGTCACTTCTGATAATCTACTGTCTGATGTTCAGAATGGGCTGATAATCGATTATCACACTCTGATAATTGATTATCAAACTTCAGAGAGGGCTGACAGTCGATTATCACATTCTGATAATCGACTGTTGCTCAGCTTTGTTCAAAAAATCTGCAGAACGATGGATAATCGATTTTCAAGTTGATAATCGATTATCCATCGTCTTCTACCTCGAGCCAACTTGCGGAAATGTCACTTTTACTCACCAAACTTCAATTAAAGTATATAAAAATGTTCTCCAAGGTTCATGGATCATTTTAGCATCATTAATTCATAATTTTAACATCAATTTCATGGTTTATGATTCTTAGTTCTTCAAGCATGTCAAACACAAAACTCAACCAAATGACCATTATTTATGAACGTAGAAACGACCTATATGAACATTCTAGTCATTAGATATATCTACGGGCTTACCTCGAAGCTTAATGGAGGTTTTGGAAATTTTCCGGCGAAACTTCCGGCGAGTATTTCTCCCAACTCCAGCGACTTCACACCAAATTGACAGCACCACAACATTCCTCACACTTTCATGAACACTTAGGAAGAAGAATGAAGAAGAATGGTGAAGAAATGAGAAGGTTGAGTTCTCTTATATAATGAAAAGGAGAGAAGAAGAAAACAACTATGGTGACTCCACAATTCTGCGATCGGCGTAGTGGGAAGGAGGCGCCGTCTA